GCAGCAACCGACCGCCCATGAGACGGGAAACTCGTCCCGCTCCAGACATGGAGGATGGCACGAGGTACAGTCCAGTCTAGGACGTGAAACCCGGCAGCAGCAACCTGGCCGCCGCCCACTCGCGCTCGCCACGCGGCGAAGTCCGTACGAATCACCGAGGTCAGCGACCCGTGGGTGGCGGGACGGGCGTCGCAAACCAGCGCAAGGTGGTAGCTCTTATCGACCTTCCGTCCCAGAAGCTTCCTCTCGCTTCCTTCCCAGGCGTGCCCACATGCTCGAGAATGACCAGCCTGGAGAGAGCTCGAGTTCGGGGATGTCGCCCTCGCCGTCTTCACCACAGTTCTCACAACATCGTCACGGCCGGTCTTCGTCTCCCCCCAAGAAAACGTGCAAGAACCTCACCTATGCTGCACGCAGAACGTTGCCCCCGCATGTCCCCCATCGCGAACTTGCGAGCGAAAGACGAGGTAAGACGTTGCCTGCTCTTGATCGGAGACTAGTGAGCTTACTTGCGTCGTGGGTTTTCAGCGCGCGTAGGAGACCTCGTGGAACCAGTTGATGGTAACCAGCTATCCCTCGCCCCGAGTACACAACGTGACAGCAACATGCCTACATCTCTTTCCCTCATCTTATGTGCCGAGGATGGTGTGGCGCTGGAGGATACGCTCGGCCTTTCGCCGAAGACAATGCCCGAGTCCGAGGTCATCGCTCCTTTCCCGTCAACATCCGTGACGCTCGGGCCACGTGCTTCTTCAGGTGTAATGTCAACCCTGGAAGAGCTGGATTCTACTGCTATTGGAAGGGTCGCGCCGCAATCGATGTCATCGGCAGAAGTACCTGAAGCGCAAGTAGGGCAAGACGTGGAGATGGTAGACGCACTCCCCACATTGATACCTTTTCGTCGCCCCATTCGACGCACTGGGGACATTCTCGACCCACTTGTGTCGTGGTCAAATGGGAAAGTCCCTCCTGTGCCATCGGGGACGTTTGAGGAGGCTATGCTTGAGGCTCATCCTCCCGAATCCAATCTTCTGCAATCCTCTTGGCCAGTGGTGCCTCGGCTCGATGGAGCCATCGGCACCGGTTGGATCAGGTTACAGCAGCCAGCTGTGTGCTGTTATCGTGCTCAACAACGTCGCACTCTACCCGCTAAGCTAGACGTGAACGATTTCCTCCGGCGGGCACTGAAGAGAGGAATACCCTTTGATTTCGCACGCGAGGGTATGTCCGCGGCTGAGGCCGCCGCGCCAGCGAGTGCGACTGTATTACCGGCCGTTCTTACGTTCGAAGATGTCATAGCCCAAATATCCGAATTGCCTATTCATGTTCAAGCCCAATTCGTTCGCGACGGCGGCATTGCTTGGCGACTCATCCTCGAATACGGCTCCGCTGAGGCCTTTGCAGTGGCGCTTGCAGGACCTTCCGAACACGCGGTGACACCATTCTTCACCGAAGAGGCTTGGCCTTCCAATGTGGTCGTTGAACGCCCTGCCGCCTGGCACTATGCGTTGCTCACAGGACGTACTCGCGACGGGTCAGCCTGGTGGCCACATCCTGACATCTTCAACGCGTTTGCGCCCGTCGAATGGACGGCAGGACTAGAGCGTTGGTTTCATCGGCGCAAACAACCTAACGTACACAATCGAAATGCGAAACGCGCACCAATGCGAGATCAGGCGTGGTATATGCATATACAGGACCATACCTCGTCTTCGTGGCGCCAGAGACACCGGTTCATGGACGCACGACGAGCACCGGCATTGTTGACCCTGGGCGGGTATGCAGACGAGCCCCTGACGCTTCGCGTAGGTGCCCCGGCTCTGTCCACGTATGCTGCGGATGGGACGCACGCTGAAGAAGATGGTCCGTCACAGGCTACGGAGGATGTCATGCTCTAGTTTGCGCTGTGAAGAATTGGGTGAAGTGACACGGCAAAAGCCGGACTACCGCGGTATCATTGACATGGCATCGGTATCCGTTTTGCGTCCAAACCATTATTCTCCCACGATTACTCGACATTTACCGAATACGCTGTTGATACCTTGCTGCTCACACCGCCTTTGACTTACCCACTCCCTCACACTCATCTACATCCGGGCATGAAGCTTCTGACATCTCCCGTCTCGGTGCCACCGTGACTCTATGCACATGTAGGCAGTAGATGTTTTGACGTGATATACTCTATATTCCTATTGCTGGTAACATTGTATACGGAGGAGACTATCGGCGCTAAGCGCTTAGCAAGCATTACGACGAGCCGGGTCGCCTTTCTAGAGTCTGATCTCAATACAGGCAGCGCTTACATCACAGTTTCCGGTAAGGCGTGTCGAATTCCTGATGCCCAAGAGCCTGAGGGAACAGGTTTCATTGGAGTATTAAAGGGACACGTGCGTCGCGAACGTAGATCGGGTCGAGTGCCGGACGCCCCATACTTATATGGAGCAGGACCTGCCCCTCGCGACGACCATTCTGCCCTGCGTTGCGTTGTAGGACTCTATGCAATGACCTCTTGAAGGCCACTAGTCTGCGGACCAGGCTTTTCTGGAGGGCCGTGCTGTTGTTTGATGATGTGAGTAGTACGGCTGTCGCTCATCTGTCACTTTCTTCCTAGGTTGTACATTTTGGGCGGTAGAATAGTTAAGAGAGAAGAGAGAAGCCAACGTAGTTCCGCTGCGAGGCGAAGGAGCAGTGCACCTCACCTCCTCTTTTCGAGGAACTACGACATCGTTTTCGCCTTGCTTTTGTCGGAATCGCGACTGTCGTCTCGTTCGTACCTGATACTCGGAGGTGTTGGTGGCGTACTTGTGACAGCGTGCACGTTGTATCGTATAGCATAGACATGGACGCTGGCTTTGGCGCAGGAGAGGTGACCGTGAAACACGTTCACAACTTGTGAGGGTGGTCGTTGAAGCTACTGCCATCGTCCTCATGGGTATCCCTCAGCATGACACGACATTACCGTCTATGGCTATCCAAAGCTAGGATGCCCGTCGGAAGCTGCTTGACAATCCAAGTTCAGGGGACCCACGAATCTCTGCAGTCTCCACGGAGAAAGGCCTTCATGCTGGAAGGGGGTTGATAAGGACACGCTGTCCGAAGCTTGCTTCATTGCCCTCTTTTGCCTGAATACTTGTCCTCATTGCCGCGCGCTCGCAAGGCTTGCACTAGTGCAGTCGTGCAGCGAGCGGCAACTCATTCGCCACATAGGTAACAGCGAAGGGTACAGACAAGGGAACGGTTTTTGCATTAATAAGGCATCCGGTGTGCTATCCCACCATCGGGCCGATAGCATAGCGTAGATCTGCTGCGTGCGACTCAAAGGGTTGAAAAAACGAGGAAATTATCGATTGAGTGAGTGTTGTGCGGAAGATGTACGTGCAGAAGACAACGGAATCAAGCGAGTGTACAGGTATGGTGAATCTAGGTGACCAGGGGTATAAGAGCGAGGCTGGTTGGCGAGGAGGGGGAAGTACAGCGGCTGACCATTCATCAGTCCGAAGGGTCGATGTCGAACTTGGAGGCTGGTGTCCTCCCTCGGCGCCGGAAACGCCATCGGCGGATGCGGGTGGTCAGGACAGACCACCCAGCGGATGGTCGAGTCCTTATC